GCCCGTCAGGAAAAACCCCCTTTTTAGAGGAAACCTGAACCCTCCCGAATGCAGAGCCAGGCACTTAACAAATACCCCGAGGGTGAGGGGTGACAAAGCCAGCAAATGTAAGGTAACAAAGCAAATCAAAACGACATTAATAAAAAATCTCGAAACGAAAGCAAGTTGGCAGCGATGTCAGCATAGAATGGCTCAAATCAGCAGAATCCCGCCCTTACAGTACTTGCGTCTTCATGTAAACTGTCAAAAAACCGGCGAACCGTGAAAACAACGATTTGCTGCTATTCTTCGAACCGCAGCAAATAATAACTTGTTTGTCTTATAATAGCGAACTGTGGGGAGAAGCTACAAGAGGTTATATTCTTACCTTCAGTTCGGAGCACAAAAAAGTCATACATTGCCTCGAGATGACGAAATCGTCCGAATCTCCTTGCACTGTAATTGCGCGTGAGACACCCACTTTTAGGACAAAATTTAGGAAGAAGATCCTGAAAAACACACAGAAAACAGATTCCATAACATCTTGATACTACCAAGCGTAACTACATACACGTCTGACTCAAAATAGGCCTTTAAATTCACAAGGCCAAGCAAATTTTGAACAACCTGAATTTAAAAGAAAAATTCTGCTGAGATAAATCCCCCCTACTAGCCTGAGAACAATGAGAAAGAATTCAGCGTGATGCGCAGCATAAGGGCCTGTTTACACGGAGGGAGGGTTACCTTAGCAAACGGGTTAACTCTAGCTGGAGGGCAAAAGATAGCCCGGGTTTACAAGCAAAATTTCACAGGTAGGGTAACCCTACAGCCCGGGACTACTTTAATAATGCGCGGTTACACTCAAAGGGTTTTGGAAACAATTAGAAAGTTAACCCGGGTAGGCGGGTTAACCCTACCTGGAGTGTTTACAAGGGAAAAAGTTTACCCTCCTGCCAAGGTAACCCTAGCACGCAGATAGGGTAACCCGCCTACCCGGGTAACCCTAGCTGCCTTGTAGACACAACGACGAAAAAAAAGAGGAAATGTGTGAGTGCTAGGGTAACCTGCTTGCCAGGGTAACCCGCTTGCTAGGGTAACCCGCTTGCCAGGGTGACCCGCTTGCCAGGGTAACCCGCTTGCTAGGATAACCCTCTCTCCTTGTAAACAGGCCCTAAGATTCCTTTCCATTTTTAAAGTGTTTGGAGTCGCACATAGCATATACCAGTGTACAAAGTGGTTGAATGTCAAATGGAAATTATAAAGGCAAGGAGGAATAAAGCATTTTGGAATTGCCCTTTTCATGGTAAACTGTTCACCTCTGCATTGCGATGTAATCAAACTGAAATATACAGAGACTACAAAATTGCCCCAAATAGCCTCACACACTTATTGGATTATATTGTAATGCAAATTAGAAAAGTCGCCTGTGAAAAAGGCTATTCTAAATGCATGGAGGTGGAGAGTCGAGAGGCAGGGGGAGGAGAAGGAACAATCTGGAATATTTCATTTTTAAAGGCAAAGATATTTATTGCTGTCAACCAGACATGGGCTTTGTATATGGCAGCTCAGAACCCGGCGCAGTACAGTGCAGTGTCAGTGCAGTGCAGTGCAATGCAGTGCAGTCAAAGCTGTTTTCTTCATTATTTCGGCTTCTTCTTGAATACTAAAGTTGGGTATTTGAGTTTAATTTATCAAGGAACAAGATATTTTGTTCAAAATATCTCATTTATCACCCGGCCTACCCGGTGACACTAGCTTGGCAAGCTTTGTTGTTTTGGCATCAAATTCAAAGCTCAGAGGCACAAATTTATTTTGTGTTTCTAAAATCTGCAATGATTTCAGGCATTTAGTCTGTTTTTGTGAATATCAATGTGCTGTCCTGTGAGAAAAAAAGTCCATCAGAAATTCCTTTCCTGTGAAAATGCAAGTGACATGAAGACTGCAGTGTTTTCTGCCTGCTTAATGCTGATTGATTCAAATTTCAGAGCCACTGGYCATATGCAAGGTGGTTGGGTATRGGGTATTCAGTGGTGGAACCAGACCTTGAACTAGGGGGGTTGGGGAGGGGGGTGTTTTTTTTTGCTTGCCCTGCCAGCTTTTCTTACTTCTGCAATATTCTTTTTTTTACCCAAAATAAGGGGGGTCCCGGGCCCCTTCCCTAGATCTGCCACTGGTATTTTTGGAATAATTTATCAGTAAACAGTTTTATGTAAATGAAAGTTTGTTTCCTGTTAAATGACTTCAGGTTTGTGGGCAGTAGTAAACAATGCGGGAATTGCATACCCCAGGACCAATTGAATGGCAGACTGTGGAAGAAATGAAGAGAATTGTTGATGCTAATGTTTAGGGGATGGTACCTATTACCAAAGCATTCTTGCCACTGCTCAAAAGCACCAAGGGACGTGTTTTCAATGTTGCGAGTTCTTCAGGAAGTCGCCACACCAGGTGTCACAGCCTATTGCATCTCCAAATATGGTGTAGAAGCCTTTTCTGATTCACTCCGCATTGAAATGCGGCATTTTGGAGTCACATTTCTTATCATTGAGCCAAGCAATTTTAAAACGTACATTACTTCTGCTGATGAGAATGTCCAGCATCTTGATCAATTGTGGAAAAACCTTGATGTTGACACCAAAGAATGTCATGGAATCAAGATTTAGGAAAGGTAAAAATCCAAGTGTTTACACAGCTTGATCCAAACGCGAGGGTGCTTACAAAAGCTCAAAGGTCTCAATGAAATTACGGGGCTGTTTCTTTGAGAAAAACCAAGGTTGGATTCTTTAAAAATCCAAAAATGGATATTGCCTTTTCTTACTAAACAGATTCATCAAAGATCGCTTGGATCATGGGGCATCAAGGCAACTAAAGAATCCACTCCGGGCTGGGTTGTACTTTCTATTTCAATTGTTAAGGGATGTTGCTTGAAGTAGTCAAACAAAGTATGAATCTTGGCATTAATACTGTTTGTTTTTGTCTGTTCCTGGCCAAAGGTATTGCAAATACCATTGGATGGATTGGATCACAGCTATTTACCAGGTGGTGGATGCTATGGTTCATGCAGTAACATCCACCCAACCCAAGTTGCAGTATGTCATAGGATGGGACCATGAGATTGTCTGGAGGACACTGTTGTATCTACCATCCGAAATACAAGATTTAGCATATTTTAGTTATCCAAAACCCAAAGGAATTCCTGACCATAACTAATGCTCACTACAAAGTTTAAAGTAGTCAAGGTTGGTATGTAATCCAGATCAATGCAAGTGTTCAACACAATGTACTTGTTTTAGGTTTTTACAGTATAGGTGATTGAGCTTGGTGGCCTCTCAGGCTACTGTTCTTCTCTAGTCTATTGGCAACTAGGAGTGTTTCTATTTCCCCTGGATAGGATGCTAGTCCATTGCAGGGTAACCCCCCTCCAACCAATTATGGTACTTGTATCCATGGTGGAAAAGTATTTTGTCCAAGAACACAACACAGTGACCCTGGCCAGGGTTCAGACTTAGACTGGCCACCACTCTGCTCCTATCACTCAATAAATATCTGCAAGTGTTTAGCAAAATGTACTTTTTTTAGGTTTCTTTCTTCAACCTACTTTATTATACTGTAGTCTGTAGCTCAGGTTTTCAACAATATACGTGATTATTGTTGCGTGTGGAGGATGGTTTCCTAATATTCAAAGCCATCAAATAGTAACCATCCACTATAAACAGACACAACAGCAGTTGGAACATTAAACATCATCTATTTTGCTGGTTGCTGGCTGATTTTCAACCAAGCAAAAAGCACCCCTGTGCACCTGTCACAAGGTCTTAAAAAGAAACAATTGCCTCTTCCAGGAATTCATGCTTGCCTTTTTCTTAAGCTTCTTTACCTTTTTGTCACATATTTCTTGTTTTTGGATGTGGGAAATGTTGAGATGCAAAATATGGTGTTCAAAAAACAAAATAAAAGAGACTTTGATGACTGGTGGTTTTGTTAAATTACTTTATTGCCCTCTGTTAAGCTTAACTGAGCCCAACACTCCAAAACACAAACAAATGCTTTGTAATTCAATGCAAAATCAAATATCCTCTGTGCAACCTTTCTTGTGAACAATGAACTGCTTAAACTTCTTCCATGACACTTCTTTTCATGCAAAAACTATGTCAACGTATTACTTTATAATCAGTACCAAACTTATTTTAAGGCACAGTTCCCACTGGGAACAACAACAAGGAGCACACAAAATTCAAACGTAAACAAATTTAAAGTTATTTTTCCGCAAGAGTAGGTAATAATTAAACTACGTTTTATCCCTCTTCAGTCGACCTTGGAGGAACAGTTAAATAGCATCAATGTCCAAGTCATCCTCCTCTTCATGAGCAGCTGCATTGTCAACATGAGCCTTCAGCTGCTGGGCCTTGGTGTCGTAAACCACTTCAACCTCCTCTTCTTCCTCCTCATCACTAGACTCTTCCTCCTCTGCCTCTTTCAGCCACTTGATGAAAGGAGCCACCTNAAGTCAGGGTTTTCAATTCCATTTTCACCTGGCTGCATAGGATTGTGAGTTGGGCTTGTGTCTCTGTAGAACAAAAACTACATTATTTTCTCACCGCAACAACTTGTTGCCCCCTCCTCCCAAGGAAAAATGCGTGAGATCATTATATCCTGTGCATACCCCACAAACTACCTTTCCCAAAAAACAGAGCTCCTGATTGGTGCAGCATGTTCATGTTGACAGCAACGAAACAGAACATTTCATGACCAAAGTGTCCGGTATGCTACTCACTTTTTTGAAGGTGTTCCCGACTCATTTGGAGGATTCTTGCAAATGAAGGTTATCAACCTATGCTGCATACTGATAACTCCACTATGTCCACAAGCTTTGCAGGACTGACCAATTCTTTCTCTCCGGGTTTCTACAGTCTAAAAAAAAACAAATAATAGAATTAGAACTACATGTAGTCCACCCTCAAAATTCACCCACACCAACTATTATTGTTTTTTCTTTCTTTTTAAGTTTCAGAACCATCTGTCAATTGACAGACATGAAGAAATACAGAGGTGCCATGTTCTATTTGCCAACTTTAAATGCAATATAGTTGTAACTCTTTAGCTGCATGATCAGGCAACATCAGTACACAAGCATTCTTAACACTCTGAACAAGGTAAAGAAGCATACCAAGACAGTTTCTGGATTGTCGCAATCTGGGCATAAAACAAACTTCTCAATAAAGCCATCAAGAATGTCCTGCAACTTTTCTGCATCATGTGATCCATTCACAATGTAACGTTCATTCTTTAAGTCAATCTGGGTTTGTGCACCCAGTTCACAACCAAAGTACTTGGTTGGATCTAAGAAAAGCAAAGTGATATCAGAGTTCTTCCATCACATCACAACTGGGTTTCTTCTCATTAATTTTACAGAACCCATATGACGAGAAAAAAACATAGGACAACAAAACGGAGCATTTTCAATAATAAAACACCTTTGGTTATCTCAGAACAGGGATGGTATCTGACTAAAGAACTGAAGAGCTGTATGCAATATTAAAACTAGTATTTTGTTACCCACTACCTATCTCCTTTAACCTTTATGTTGCTTAAGGCCACAAAGAGTAGTTTAAACTGGAAATAAAAATATTAAACTAATCATTCTGATAACATTTTATGGAGATATGTCATCTGCTCAAAGATATCTAACACAGATGGTAAACGCATATTTCCATGATGAAGGAAGCTGGTACAAGACTTAACAAACACAGACATGCAACAAAAAGATTTCTTACATGCAGGTGGCCTCTGCAGTGCTTTGGCAATTTCCACCATATTGACAATAACTGTTTTGATTCCATTCCCTTTGCCCTCAACCTGAAAATTAAGAGAGGTTAAGTTGAAATGTCTGTAACAAAATTTTGTCAGACTCTATGATATTACAATTTCTAACTTTGGTTACCTAGATATGGTGGAAAGTGAACAAAATAGCGTGGTGCAAATATATGTTTTCCCCTTGGCAGTGGAAATTTGTTAAATGCAGATAAACAAACTCCATGAAGTGTAAGGTAGAACTTGAGAATTGCACACAATGCTGGAAATAACGGTCAGTTGTCAGACATGCCCCACCAAATTTTGTGAAACTGTCTGACTGTTACATTATGACCAGACACCATGACTGAGCACCAAAATGACTTAGATTTCAGNATTAAGAGAGGTTAAGTTGAAATGTCTGTAACAAAATTTTGTCAGACTCTATGATATTACAATTTCTAACTTTGGTTGCCTAGATATGGAGGAAAGTGAACAAAATATAGCGTGGTTCAAATATATGTTTCCCCCTTGGTAGTGGAAATTTGTTAAATGTAGATAAACAAACTCCTTGAAGTGTAAGGCATAACTTGAGAATTGCACATGCAAATTAAACAGTCAGTGGTCAGATATGCGCAACCAAATTTTGTGAAACTGTCTGACTGTTACATTATGACCAGACATGACTGAGCACCATGATGACTTAGATTTCAGCTAAAGATTTTGTAGACCATGTTTGCTTTGGAAGATCTTAAAAATGCCAAATCCATGGTTTTCTTTGCTTTAGTAGCCTCCCCTGACTTGCATAAAACATGCAATAAACATCTCTCTTGAAAACTGCCTCACAAAGCATTGCTCAGCATACTTAAATGTACATCATGTATGCCTATTTTAATGTCTGTCCAAATTCAGAACATGACTGTCTAGCTGAAATAGAGATTTGTTCTGTTACAGTATATAATAAAAGTTATGTCCAGCACTGATACATCTCCAAATGGTGACTTATTGTACTCTGTTAACTTTAGTCACCTGCAATAAGCTTGCGACAAGTCTATGACAAAATTGTATTTCTCAAACTCAAATCTACAACGTCGTTATCATTGCGATGTCAGCACAAAAAATTCTTTAGCATTTTGTCACTTGTTGCCAGACTTTTCAACAATCACAACACTGAAAAAAAGTTTGCGAGATGAGAGCAGCATCAACTATAGAGTCAAGTTACATGTGACAAAGTTGCTGTCTTGATGAATAATCAGCCCTCAGACCAACATCATGTAACATGGTGTTCAAATGTAAGTGAAACAATCCAAGTGTGCAGTAGTTAAGTACTAAGTGTAAAGTGTTACCTTGGCTAGGAGTTTTGGCATCTTATAACGGTAAAACTGGTCGGTGTTCTTTCGGTTAACATTGACGAGAGCCATGATTGTTTACTTTTTATAAGCTTCCTCTTTGATAAACGCTTGTAGTGATTGCAGTTACTGCAATGATTTCTGCTTTGAATAATTTTCCCTGTTAAATTCATAAAAGTTCTATGTCTTGTCCGTATCGAGAAACAAGGGAGGCGTTGGAGCCCTGTTTTATTTTCTGTGTGAAAATGAATCTTGAGTCTGCTCAACCGAGTCCAACCTGGGGAAAAACAGTTATGGTAAACACGGTGCAAAGAAAATTGTGTAGTTCCAGAAAATATCCATACATGATGTACTTCCTGCATGGAAGGGATCCTTCTTAAGACCCCCTCACCCCTCTGGAAATTCCAATTAAGCTTCATACATGCTTTTACATTTCCTGGTCTTAAAAAGAACCCCATCCCCCAGGAAATTCCAAACCCTTCGGTGTGGGGGAGAAGAGTATGGATATTTTCTGGAGCAGCTAATTAGCATAACAAACTGAGGCATCAAGGGAACCTTTTCTTGCAAGTTTAAGGGCATTAGACACCCTTCTGTGCATGTGGCGCAATTTGAGTTCTTATCCGATGGAACAGTTTTCAAAGTTGATATTTCTGAGAAAAATCCTCTCCATCAACCTTGTGAAGTTTGTGAAAATAGTAATACCAGTAATGAAGTTTAGTTATCTATGAAAGATTTAAACAACATATTTTGTGTTTTGAGTTAAATACCATCAAGAAATACAATATCCTTGAGAGGGGGGTTTTCCAAGTGGCTAAAGACGAAAGCTACTTTCGCCCCCACAGCCGCCTTGATTCAAAAGAAAAAAAAAAGAAAAGATGGGAGGATGAACATTGCAAACTTTATGTGGTTGCAGATGCTCATGTGGGTTGGAAGAAAGTTAAGTGTATGGGCTTGTATTCAACGGATTTACCCTTCACACAACATAAACATGATAAATATTCTGTAAAAACAAACGGTCAAAAGCTGGCAGATAAAGAGGTTTGCGAAAGGCATGTGAAACTTCAAGCTGACCGGCGGCAAATTTGTGGCGGCGCACGTAATATTATGATTTCTATTGGTTAAAAAAGTGTCAATCAAGACCTCACATGCGCTTTATCATGACAATGGCCCTTTAACACTGACAAACAAAACTTCCAAAAATACTAGGTAAGAAAACCTGCTGTTTGTTCACAAAATAAAATTTAAATAAAACTTATCAAGGACACTTGCCGAGACAAAGACTTGTTTGTGTGTAACAATTCACTTATTATCCTAAATAAAACTATTTTCAACAATGGGCAATTGGATGCTCGATAAATATGCTGCTATTTCAATGTGCTTCTTGTTTTGTCCTGTTCTTCTGATATCGGAATTTGTGACGTGTACCAATCTATTCCTCTATTTTCACCATTTAGTTCAACAGACAACAACTTTCTATTCACTGAGCAATTTCACAAAGTCTACCATTTCCCTATAAACAATATGTTCTCCTCAATTAAAAACACAAAACATTTAAGGTTAACGTATAAGCTTACTTTGGGTTTCACAAAAAATAATCACTTCACAGAGTGAGACGAACGAGCTCTCTTGAACACTTAAACTCAATTTATAAGAAACTTCATCGAACCCGAAGGTTTTAAACACCTTGAATAAAAAAAAAAAACTGTACCTTGTTTGTCTTATAATAGCGAACTGTGGGGAGAAGCTACAAGAGGTTATATTCTTACCTTCGGAGCACAAAAAAGTCATAAATTGCCTCGAGATGACGAAATCGTCCGAATCTCCTTGCACTATAATTGCGCGTGAAAGACACGCACTTTTAGGGCAAAATTTAGGAAGAAGATCCTGAAAAACACACAGAAAAAAGATTCCATAACATTTTGATCCTACCAAGCGTAATTACATATACGTCTGACTCAAAATAGGGCTTTAAATTTACGAATAAAATTCATCAGTTCTACTCACTCTCCACTAGTACAAAGATGGCGAGTTTCTGTAAATTTTTTAGTTCACGTGACTCAATATGACGTCACAAGCCAGACCAGTTTCCATTCCTTTTCGATCTTTTCTTTTCGTTCCCAACTCCCTTGGTTTCTTTCTTTCGAATTTCCTTTTCTCATTTGTTTGTTCCAACATGTTTGTTTATCCTCTTTGGTCGTGGAGTTTTTCAAAGATCATGTCCACTGAAGGTTAAATTATGCTTGTACTCTGTGAGAACGGGGCTCTGAGCTATTGGCTAAGTACATAATTGCTGTACTTTCACGAGCTGAAGTCGCTAAATCCAGGAGTCTTTTGTCTCCCTCGGAAGAGGAGTAACCATACTAGGGTACACTGCACTCCGCGCCAGGATGGATGCAGACTCCAGTTGTTTTCCTTTGAAGGACATCTCGTCGGTGGTCGAAGTTTTCAAGGTGGAACTTGCAAAAGCAGAGCCGAACCTGGCAAAGTTATCGATTATTTTGGGCTTCTTCGAGACAGCACTAACTTGTAAAGGCTCGTCGAATAGCTGCCCTAGTCTTGACAAAGAAACGTTCGACGCACTTGGCGGTAAATTTCAGGCTTTGATAAAGAAAGATTTGGACCTGAACAAAGAGCAGAAGCCAGCGACAAGGGAATTCATTGTACACGTCGCAGATCTGGTCTGGAGTTGTCTCTCGAAATCGTACTTTAAGGATAAACCCCACATACAGAATCTCTACAGTTTTTTGACAGGCAAGTTGTGACAAAAATCACTGTACGCGTAACTTATAACCTTCATATCGTTGCAGATGCATTACATCCTTTTAGACTAAGGTATGAAGGTTAATATAGTTAATTTGGCGATTTGCATTTTAGCGATTCCTAAATGCAGTGATTATAGTGCCTTTTTTCTGATTTCACCACCGTTTGGAAGTTTGAGAATAGTATTGTTCAATTATTTGCAAAATAAATTTTAACTGTGACCAAATCCCAGATAGACTCTTTATAAGCTTAATACATTAATGCAAATATCACATAGGTTTCACGTTTGCAAATTAAACAGAAATCAGTGTTGTTACTTCTTGATTCACTTTCTTTCAACTGATTGCATTTCTCAAAAACATTGAATTGAGTTGTTTTGATTTGGTGAATATTTATGATGCATGATTTTGCAATTGGTTTTTCATTCAAACGATATTAAGCTGCTCAAAACTAAAGCGCAATGCTTTTTTTGTTTGCTTATTCAGAACAAATGTGTTGTTATTAGCAATACTTCGTTGCATAAAATTAATGTTTAATACAAGATAAATGAACCACCTTCCTTTAATTTTGCTATTTCTGAAAGATTTCTGAATACTTTAAACCAATAAATACCCTTTTAAAATACATTTTCAGTAGCAGTATGGTAAATATATGTAGTTCAGATGGCTGGTTTGTAAAGGTGTTAAAAGTTAAGATGTTCTGTGTTTACCAGCATGGGGTTTATATTCTTTTTGCTTTCCATTATTTATAACAGTCCAAATGTAGAACAGCTACAACTGAAGGTATTGTGGTCTGACGCAAAACGTTACCGCAAAGTTACAAAATTGAAATCAACATTTGCGCTAACCTGTGTTAGCTTAATTGGGCTTTGAACAAGCTATTGGCTTGATATGGCTGCTTAAACTGAAAGCAAGCAAAAAATATGTAATCAAACAGCGAAGTCAAAGTCAACAGAATTTTGACTATGTTAAATAAAATGCAAATAGAGTACAATTTCGGAGCTTGGAGGTGGTCTTCAAAGAAATAATGGGTGTTTTCCATTATGCCAAAGATTCCGGAAATTTTGTTCAGAAGTCAAATGGAAAGGTCTGTTTCAGTTCCTTCTGACTGGAATATTTGGGACCATCTCTGGAGGTGGTCCACTTTGATCGGTTGGACTGATCTGAGTGAAATATGCCATTCCATTTTGACAAACCATTTCATTGCCCCACAGTGTACTGCGCTCTAATTACCAGTCGGTCTGGCATAATGGATCGTAATGGAAAGCACCCAATATATCTTCACAAAGACATAAATCAGTGGGTGAAGAATCAAACACACAATGAGATGAAATCATTGGTCATTAATTTAATAATCGTTTAAAATCCTTTACAGGAAATCGACTGGACTGTTTTGGTGTTGCTTTTACAGTAGTGGCAATCTGTCAAGCATTGGGTGCTAATGACGTTCATTTAGCGCTGTCTGAAGATCATGCCTGGGTGGCGTTTGGGAAGGACGGCACTGAGACAGCAGAGGTTACCTGGCATGGGAAGGGTAATGAGGATAAACGAGGCCGCCCTGTTGATTTCGACGAGACCACCTCGCACAGCTGGCTATATCTTAGTGGTTACCCTGTGAAATGCACCAGACACATGGAGGTCGCTTCTATGGTATCGTCCATTAATCCAGCCATCACAAATACCAGTGACAGTGTAGAACTGGCTGATCTACAGCAGGTCTGTTATAACCCTTGTCTCCTCGTATTTTTTATTGACTTACAGAATTAGGTATTTCTTGTAATATGCTGAGGAAAGAGAGAAGTCCACCTTGATATATGTAAACATCTGGTAAAGGTGAAGTAGAGCATACGAGTCAAGTGGCCCATCAGGCCAGACCTTATCCCAGTTTCTGTAGCATGAAGCAACCAGGAATATTTCTACTCCCCCCTGGGAAGCTAGTCCATCACAGGATTTCTCCCAGCATTAAATTTGCCGGTACCCATTGATACACTTGGGTGGAGAGAAGCACTGTGAGAGTACATTGTCTTGCCCAAGAACACAACACAATGTCCCCGGCCAGGTCTCGAACCTGGATCCCTTGACCCTGAGTCAAGCGGACTAGCCATGAGGTCACCGCGTCTCCACTGTAAACATCTGACCCGATACAAACTTAAGTGAAGCAGAATGATTAATATGGAAAATAATGGAAAAGGGGGTTTATTGTGCTATATTGTTACTAGCATAATAATTTTCTTTTTGTTGTTTTTCATCAGTTTTTAACAATTAATTTGCTAAAAGATTTCAGTTGATTAACATCTCTTTTCAATGTCAAAACCCTTATGTGTAAAGTTTGAAACTTTTAATTATATAATTTTAGCCTTTTCACTGAGTATTGCTTGTATAAAATGTGTTTTTCAACAGCAACTTTTATGGTTACTCTATGACCAAGGCCACCTTAAAAGGTAAAAATAGCAATAGTTACAATAACAGCTATTATACAGTATCTCAGCAGTTCTTAACATTTGGAACAATTCAAAGTTGGATAGATCATCTTAAATATTTCCATATTAATAAATATATTTTTATTGCCTCTAGAACGAAAGGTTGTTGTTGTTGTTTTTAAAAACATTATTTTATAAATATGTAAAAAGTGATATTAATAATAATATTGTATCTCTAGGAACTAAACAGACGAGTGTTCTTTGCATTTTCTATTCCCGAGATGAGAGACATGTTGAGATATAAGGCTAGAAATTTCATTCTGATAATCTATCGCTACCAAGATCATAATAGTAGGGAGTTTAAGAAAACCATGATGGCAACAGCAACGGGAACATCGCAAAACAAAACGTTCAATGAGCAGAGCCCCTATAAAGCAGCCAGCCCCTATTAAACAACCACCTTCCATTCCCCAAGGGTGGCCGGTGAACAGGGGTGCGACTGTAGAATATAAAATGTTTGAATTCTTTTTTGGAGGGGTGGGGGGAGGGAGAAAGGGTACGTGCAACAGCTGACATGATCTGTTCAATAGTGATTTGAAAACTTATTTTCAATTGATAGATATCCCTTGGCATTGGGAAATCTTGGCGACTTACAAGAAATAACACTGACCCCTGGCCGACCATCTGCAGAAGAGATTCTGAAAGAAGGCATCAAAGTGAACCAAACTCTGTACAAGGACCAGCACATCTACCCATACACCTACCTTGGTGGATATTATTACAGACAGAAGCAATATTTGAAGGCCATTGAGTGCTGGGTGAAAGCTGCGTATGTTGCCGGAAAGTAAGTAATTCTGGTAGTTTTTCTGAAACATTCAGAACCTCTTTAAATAATTATGTAAATCTTGTTCTACACAGGACTTTTCTGAGGTTAAAATGTTTTTAAAGTGTGATGTTTTGGTCAGTTTTATTGCCCAAAACAAAGTCCACCATATTGAGCTGGAACTATCATGGTGCCAGAAGAAGAACAGTTAAACTGTCTGAAATGTTNTATTAATAATAATATTGTATCTCTAGGAACTAAACAGACGAGTGTTCTTTGCATTTTTTATTTCTGAGATGAGAGACATGTTGAGATATAAGGCTAGAAATTTCATTCTGATAATCTATCACTACCAAGATCATAATAGTAGGGAGTTTAAGAAAACCATGATGGCAACAGCAATGGGAACATTGCTAAACAAAACGTTTAATGAGCAGAGCCCCTATAAAGCAGCCAACCTCTGTTAAATGACCACCTTCCATTCCCTAAGGGTGGCCGGTGAATAGGGGTGCGACTGTAGAATATAAAATGTTTGAATTCTTTTTTGGAGGGGTGCGGGGAGGGGAAAAAGGGTACATGCAACAGCTGACATTATCTGTTCAATAGTGATTTGAAGACTTATTTTCAATTGATAGATATCCCTTGGCATTGGGAAATCTTGGCGACTTACAAGAAATAACACTGACCCCTGGCCGACCATCTGCAGAAGAGATTCTGAAAGAAGGCATCAAAGTGAACCAAACTCTGTACAAGGACCAGCACATCTACCCATACACCTACCTTGGTGGATATTATTACAGACAGAAGCAATATTTGAAGGCCATTGAGTGCTGGGTGAAAGCTGCGTATGTTGCCGGAAAGTAAGTAATTCTGGTAGTTTTTCTGAAACATTCAGAACCTCTTTAAATAATTATGTAAATCTTGTTCTACACAGGACTTTTCTGAGGTTAAAATGTTTTTAAAGTGTGATGTTTTGGTCAGTTTTATTGCCCAAAACAAAGTCCACCATATTGAGCTGGAACTATCATGGTGCCAGAAGAAGAACAGTTAAACTGTCTGAAATGTTACATTTTTAAAACATTTTAACCTGTGAAAAGTCCAGTGTAGACCAAGATTTATTTTGTTTATTTTATTTATTTTATTTATTTTATTTATTTTAAGTAATTCTGTATATCCAGATCCAATAGCTGACTAAGGTAATTTTTAAGAAATGGTACATCATACAGTCATGTAACGGTGAACTTTGATTGGGTTTTGAAATCGAAATTAAAATAAATAAATTAAATTAACTTTTTGCTGTCTGTGGAACTCCTGTATAGTGGTTGAACATGTACTGTAGTTTCTGAATTAACCACTGGAACTCCAAGGTGTAGCTGTAAGTAAGCCCCACAATCATTTCATTGACGCACAGTAAGCAAAATAGCGGCCAAGAGAATTGAAAAAACACTTGCGTAATAAACACTGGGCTCTAGACCATTTTCGTATTCTTGGTACTGGACTGCAACTACATGTAGCTTGCAATGGAGGCTTATGTGGGGGCAATATCATTAATTAAAAAAATCATTAAAAAGAGCTTAATTTTATTTGAATGCAATAAAAAAGACTTCCCCAAGGATTGGAAAATGGCCTAATAAACTACCGGTCACTGGATTAAAAAAAAATCCTGGGTCCACGAGGACAATTTTAAAATTTATAAATGCATGGGATGTTTAACCATGAAAATGCAGACAGTACACAGACTTTTTTCATTGTGCATTTGTAACCAAATTAATTTGATTTCAGTGCATTCAGATGTTTTCCCTAATAGTGCTCTTTCTTTCCTCTGCTCCTCTGTACATTTGTAGGTACAACTATTCAAAAGGAGATGAGGAGATGTTCAAAGAATTATATGAAATAGCCAATGACTTTATCCCAAACATCCTGAAAACATCATCTTCAGCTTCAGTCAAAGGTGAAAACAATGCGGCCCCTAGGAATCTCGACCTCACAGAAGATCCAGGTTTTTTTGCACTTGTTCTTCAGTTTTATGATGGTGTTTGCTTGTGGGAGGAAGGCAGTCATACTCCTGTGTTGCATGCTGATTGGGCGAAGAAACTTGTGCAGTCCATTTCAAGATTCTCGCCAAGTTGTAGATCTGCGTTGTCGACTTCACGAGCAGGAACAGTTGTTGTGACGAAGTCTGTGGAGCCCCCCAAAAATGACTTGCCTGAAATAAAGGCACCTGTTAGTGGCACCACCTCTTCATCCTCTTTTAATGAGAAGCTTGAAAACAGCAACTCGGCATCAGCTAGTGTAGAAAACTCTAAAGAACGAGTGGTGCTTAATCTTAGAAGTCAAAAAATGAGAGGAATGAGAGATCTGCTGACAACAAGTGGTAAAATAAACACCAGTGCAATCAAACTTCAGCTAACAGCCCAATCACAAGTGAGCGTGCCGAAGAGCAGAAGGAGGTCATCGTTTAAAACCGACGACTATGTTTATGACTTTGGGGAGGAAGGCGAGGGGGAGGATGAGGAGGAGGAGGAAGAAGAAGAAGAGGAAAGGAGACCAAAGAAAGCCATGAAAGCAGATTGGGACTTTGTAGCATACTGAGTTTTAGTATTACATTCATGTGGTTTGTTGTTATTCACAGGAAAGAAAATAGTATTAATATTATCAGAAGTACTCTTATGTGCATTTTAATGACATACAAACCTTGCTCACTTTTGACTGCGGTCGCTCATCATAGTGAAACTCTCAGGAAACAGTCACTGGGCACAAAAGGTCAGATTTTGATCCAGTAATGTTTGTTTGTTTGTTTCTTTTTCACTATGATTATGATTGACGACAGAGAAAAATGCAACTATTGATAATTAGGTGTTGACCTTCTTTGTTCCTGAGCTATCAAAATGCACAATACGGAAAATGAAAAGGTGAGGAATGTAAAAACAATTCAACCACATGTAAGCACTTGACTCAGCTTACATGTATAGTCTAAACAGGTGAAGCCACTTCAAGTTGTAAAGAAATGATTGAGAAGTTCATTGTGAAGTGACTACATGAGTTTTTAAAACCTTCACTCCTCCTACAATGGTTTCGAAATGAGCCATTATTTAAGTCCCATGGTGACTGATTGTGTGGCTAGACTGCTATAAGGATGGCCAGCTATTGTTTCTATGTGGTAGATGTTAAATCAAGAGATGTGAGTCTGAGTGTTAGATAGCATCACTGTGTGATTTGCGTGTTAGTGGATGCTCACTGTGCCAGTAATGTTTTAACAGGAAGTGATCAAGTAAAGGAACAATATTCTGGAGTACCTTGCAAGGGATAGCATCCCTTCCAGGGGTTAGCAATATACCTGGTCTTTTTGTGCCACAGAAACCAGGATATGCCTTTGTTCCATGTGATTATGAACTCATTTTTTTCAACGTCAAAATACTTTACCATCTTTTAAAAAAAAAAAATAAGATGAGAGTTATCAAACCTCTGTTAAAAGGTTTACAAAAAAGTGAAAAGCATGGCCATATTACCGCTAGACCTACACTGTAATTAGTCTTTTTTGCCCCATTGTACTGTTGTGTGGAGTACATTAACTGACTTAATTTGATTGGCTATTACCTATTTTGGGAAGGGGGACTCAATAAGTTTTGATTGTTTTTAGGGGGAGGGCTTTTAAAAATGAGTGGGAATCAAATAGGTCCTAAGAGGATTTAACAAATTAGTATTTTACTGTAATAGTATTATATTTTGACAGCTTTCATTTTCCACTTATTATTCACTAGCTAGGCCAGTTTTAGATGACAGTCATAAGCATTTTACAATGTATTTTACTGGTAATTTTGTATACTGGACATTTTACCTGAGCCATTCTATGTAGTCATCATTTACCTAAGTAATATTATTATTAATTTATTATATGGCAAGTTAGTCTTGAGGTAAAACTGAGTGTTCTGATTGGTTCTTTCTTGATTGGGATTTTGCTACATGGACTGTTTCCATAGGAATGGCCATAAGCCATGTATTTTTTGTGTTTGAAACCTTGCAAATTCAAGTCCCAAATGCCATGTAATAAACTAGTTACTAATAAACCTAGTTTGCTTGAGCCGTACTGGAGAATGTTTGCCCATGGTTATTTTTGAATGGACCACATTGTGCTCGGTCTGTACTGCCACAACCTGGGGCAAATATTCCCCAATATGTCCCGGGCATTCAGTTAGTAAGAGGTCTAACTTACTAGAGAAGTGTTCAACTGTCAATCATTTAAATATTTACTATTTTAATGCTTACCCTGTATTCCTGAAGTTTAACGACACATTTAATATAAACAAATAATTACCAACACATTTAATATAATGGTGGATATATTCGTTATCAGCCTTACTTTTTACTGGACAGATAACAACTGGTTTCAAGATTCAGATTATAACTTATGAAGGAATATTTTTCTCCTCAAGACAATGCCCCAAAAATAGGGTTTGAAGTTCTTATTCTTATCAGGAGCATAGTGAAAAAAAAAATAGTGAGCTGGCTTATATTAGTGGAAATCCTGCAGCCAGCTATTGATGTCATGTGTAAACCCAGAAGCCCTTCGGTGGGGTGGTTGGGGATTTTTTCTGAAGCAACCTGTTTTTAATTTACCACAATAATCAAACAGTACAAAACTTACCCAGGGAAACTGAAAACAACGTCAGTCTAAGCTAAGGATTAGGCAGTTAACAGTAGGTTGTTGGGAATACTTTGTTTCATGGCTCTTCCAATGTTTTCTGATGTACCTGGTTTTGGTATGCTTCTATCTCTTTGCTCATTTAGAAATCTTAGTCTGCTAGGTAAGCAAGAGGGAATGTAGAACCTAACATGTGATCAGGCAGTTGTTTTTTGTGTGGTCGATCCACCGCCAAAAAAATCAGAAAAAATGAAGAGTGCAGGTTACATTTAACCCAGTTATTATTGGACTACATACATTTGCATCTTAATATTCCTTAAAAGGCTTTTACAAATAGATACGCATGTCAAGTAATAGTCGAAGTAGCATGTAAAGATTGCATAGTGTGATGAAAGGTGAAGATCACAAAAAGAAACAAAATATAGTGATGAGTATTTAATTTGTCCTAAAAATATCTACCTGTTATGATATTAGCAGGTTGCAAGAATTTAGCAACTCATCTGTCACCTTTACATATCATTAGGCCGGGGGTGATCAAGTGAATATTTCATGTCCGGCTACGTACTGAAGGCGTAATTACATTGTATCAAGTATGAAATTTGAAGTGTTATTCAGGTTATTTTCATATTCTTGAACATATTACAGTGTGACTGACTTTGAAATAAAAAAAATCAAA